AAAATAAGAGTGATTTGCGGCAAAACCCGCCAGTATCACACCCAACGTCAGTGCCTGTACGTAAGCGTACTACGACGCGGCTCTCAATAAAAGGAGTAACAAGTGTGATACTATCACTGCTAAACTAGATCTTTGGTTCTCTCATGCAGTGGTTTATCAGAGGGGAAGCTTAGTAATCCCCATTGCCTGCCCATGACGCCATTCTATCGCGGCATGAGCCAGCCACGCCGGCCATAAACCTACCGTCTCCAACACTCCACTATAAAGCATGAAATTAAGCCCGCCCACCAACAGCAAGGTGCAAAAACTAACCAAGGGGAGGGTTTCTAAATTCCAATAAAAAACTATCATTGATTCTATAACATTCCCCAGAATTTATCATTCCCCAGAAAAGATGATGAAATTAGTAATTTATCACTTTTTTTTGGTCATTTGATATTATATTTCAGTTTTATATTACAGAACAGCTTAATATACATATTAAGCACACACATTTACACATTTTTTTAAATATATTTTTCATGATTAAACTCTCTGATTAGTTTCACTTTACTAAATTGATGATATACTACGTTTTTTTAGCTCTTTAGAAAATGACAACCTTCAAGTTTTCGAGCACTTCGTTCACCATTTAAAAAGTCAAAGGGTCTAATATGCAATCCAATTCAACCAGTCGGAAACTGTTAAACCTTATCAAAGAATTGTTCGACCTGAGTTGAAGAATTTCTCGTTATGGATTGAAAAATCGGTGCATGGAACATTATTCCACACGTTATTATCCCAAATGGGGAATGAGATTCTGGGGAACGGTTTTCTTGGGAATGTTATAGAATCATTTGTATTCAGTATAAATTAGAAAAGGAAATTTCCTTCTCAAAAAATTTAACCGTTCTTTTGATCCCTTGCTGTTCTTCCATTTGTCTTAATTTCGGGGTAGTGGCCATTCGGAGTAGTGTACTATTCGGGGTAACGGCGTTCGGGGTAGTGACATTCGGGGTAGTGTCATAGAATCCTGGACCTTACCTATCGACCCCATCAACTCATGAACCGGGGACCAACGGCTTTACTTCCCTTCCGAAGGAAGGCGTGATCACCACCGGCGTCGCTAACTTCTACATTTATTTACCTTTCCGTACGTACCGTAAGATTTGATAAAGATAAACGAATTGGTGAGATATTGTAAAAAGTCTAAAGCAAACCCCACACGTATCAATATATTGACGCGAAGAGGAATTATTGACATTAATATTGATGATGTGAATACAGAAATATTGTCAATACCGTGTAGGGTCCACATAACACTGCTTCTTGACGCCAAACTCGGCACTCCAAGTAATCAAAATGAAAATGAAATCCCGTCCTGGCGATTCGCGCAACGGGATTTCTAATGATTTTTATTTAGTTCACTTCAAGTCTAGTGAACTAAACAACCTTAAGGCCTTAGAAAAAGCTAGCCTTATGCTCCATGTCCGAGTGAAGTGGGAACACTTCAGGAAGACTGGAGGAAATTTCCAAAACCTCACTCAGTGCCGTAAGTGCCAGGGTCACGGAACTAAAAATTGCTACATGCCAGCTAAATACATGAATTGTGGTGATTCCTCTCACGCAAAGGACGACTGTCCTGTGAAGGAAGATCCTAAGAAATTTAAATGTTCAAATTGTGGTGAAAACCACAAATCCAATTTTTGGGAATGTAAGACTCGCAAAGCGATCCTACAATCTCGTTCTAACCGACAGGTAAGAAACGCTCCACGTTTCCGACCAGGTACAAATTCCTCTGCTGTTAACAACGGTCAGCGAGGAACAAATTCTACATTCGTACCCGTAGGTACAAATATCACCCCTGCTTCAAATTTTTCAACTGTACCAACTCCCCTCGCTGCTAACAATGTTCAGCGAGTTAATGGAGCTACCTATGCTGCTATTGCAGCGGGTAGAAATCAAAATACTATCCAAAGTAATTCTAACGGGAATTTTGACAATTTTGACTTAGGAAGCATTACTGCCCCTAAAATGGAATTTTTACAGAAACATGATTTCTGATATGCTTAAATCTAACTCCATGTTTGATGCTATTCAAACTGGAGTAAAATTTGCAAATAATATTGTCATGACTTTAAAATTCAGTAATGGATTTTAAAGCATTAAATATTGTAAATTGGAATGCTCGATCTCTTAAAGATAATGAAGACGAGCTATTTAACTTTTTGAGAGTTCATAACGTGCATATTGCCGTTATAACTGAAACGTTCCTTAAACCTGACCATAAGGTTAAGAAGGACGCAAATTACTTGATTTATAGAAATGATCGTCTTGATGGACCCTGTGGTGGCGTTGCCATCATTATTCATAGACGAATCAAACATAAAATTCTTTCTTCATTTGAAACCAAAGTTTTTGAAACTTTGGGAGTTTCTGTTGAAACAAAATTTGGACAACTTACGTTTATAGCTGCCTATTTGCCATTCCAATGCGTAGGCCAGAAAAAGAATTTTCTCAAGGGTGACCTCCAGAAACTTACCCGTCATAGGTCTAAATTCTTCATTATTGGTAATTTTAATGCAAAACACCGCTCATGGAATAATGCTCAAAGCAATTCCAATGGTAATATTCTGTTTGATGATTGTTCTGCAGGTTATTACACTATTCAATATCCAAACAACCCAACATGCTTTTCTTCTGCAAGAAATCCCTCCACTATTGATTTGGTCTTAACTGATTCATGTCAACTTTGTAGCCAACTGGTTACCCATGCTGACTTCGGTTCTGATCACCTTCCAGTAACTTTTGATATATCCCAAGAAATAATTTGTAATCCCAACAGCTCTACTTTCAATTACCATAGAGCTGATTGGGAGCAGTATCGAACATTTTTTGAATATAACTTCGATCCAAACATTCCTTTGCAAACCAAAGATGAAATTAATTATGCTCTTGAATCTCTGACTACTTCTATAGTTGCAGCAAGAGCTGCCTCAGTACCAAAATGCGAGGTTAAATTCGATTCAATTATAATAGACGACGATCTTCAGCTCTTGATCCGTCTTAAAAATGTCCGTAGGAGACAATATCAAAGAACACGCGATCCTGCCATGAAGGTTATCTGGCGGGATTTGCAAAAACAAATTAAAAAGCGATTCTCTGCCCTGAGGAACAAAACTTTTGAAAATAATGTTTCTAAATTAGACCCGAGTTCCAAACCCTTTTGGAAACTCACAAAAATTTTGAAAAAACCTCAAAAGCCTATTCCAGCGCTTAAAGAAGGTGGTAAAATTTTGATCACAAATTTGGAAAAAGCTCAGAAACTTGCTAAGCAATTCGAGAGTTCCCATAATTTCAGTTTGGGTCTTACTAGTCCTATTGAGAATCAGGTTGCTCGGGATTTTCTGAATATTTTCTCTCGGGAAAATATTTTTGATGATTCCTGGGGGACTGATTTGGACGAAGTAAGGTCTATAACTAAAAAGTTTCAAAATATGAAAGCTCCAGGTGATGATGGAATTTTCTATATCCTCATCAAAAAACTCCCAGAGAGTACCTTGTCTTTCTTGGTAAAATTATTTAACAGATGTTTCCATTTGGCATACTTTCCTGATAAATTGAAAAATGCAAAAGTTGTTCCAATTTTGAAGCCGGATAAAAATCCAGCTGAAGCTTCTAGCTACCGCCCAATAAGTTTGCTTTCTTCAATAAGTAAACTTTTTGAAAAGATAATTTTGAATAGAATGATGCTTCACATCAATACGAACTCAATTTTTGCAGATGAGCAGTTTGGATTTCGCCATGGGCATTCAACTACTCATCAACTCTTAAGAGTTACCAATTTAATTCGTTCAAACAAATCGGAAGGCCACTCAACTAGAGTTGCTCTTCTAGACATAGAAAAAGCATTCGACAGTGTTTGGCATGAAGGTTTGATTGCTAAATTGAAAAAGTTTAATTTTCCACTTTATATTATGAAATTAGTTCAAAATTATTTAACTCACAGAACTCTGCAGGTAAATTATCAAAATTCCAAGTCTAATCGACTACCTGCTAGAGCAGGAGTTCCTCAGGGTAGCATTCTTGGGCCTATATTGTATAACATTTTCACTTCGGACCTCCCTGATTTGCCTCAGGGTTGCCACAAATCTTTGTTCGCTGATGACACAGGCATTTCCGCTAAAGGAAGAAGTCTTCGTGTTATTTGCAGCAGACTGCAGAAAAGTTTAGATATTTTCTCTTCTTATTTACAAAAATGGAAGATTTCTCCCAACGCTTCCAAAACTCAACTTATAATATTTCCACACAAGCCTAGAGCTTCGTTTTTGAAACCTAGTAGTAGTCACATAGTCACTATGAACGGAGTTCCAATTTCCTGGTCAAACCAAGTGAAATATCTTGGATTAATACTTGACCAAAAATTAAATTTGGAATTCAAGCCAAATGTAACAAATATATAAAATGTTTGTATCCTCTTATAAACAGGAAATCCAAACTTTGCCTGACGAATAAACTTCTAATATTTAAACAAGTTTTTAGACCGGCCATGCTTTACGCTGTGCCAATATGGTCTAGTTGTTGCACTACCAGGAAAAAAGCACTTCAAAGGATTCAGAACAAAGTTCTGAAAATGATTTTGAAGTTGCCTCCCTGGTACAGTACAGTAATTTATTTTGAATTTGGAACAAATAAAGAGTTAAAAATAAACATAATCAATTAGACATTTTAGTTAACACACCAGCCTCTCACGCACAATAAGAAAATCAACCAGAAGTTCAAGTTCAAAACATTTTTTTTTTACTGCACAAGTGTAAAACTACAGGCTACCGTTGAATATACTAAATAACTTCAAATACAAACATAAACACTGTGTATGTATTAAACCTAGTGTTTTAATAAAATACATAGGCAAACATAATGTACGTCTTTCGAACTGACTAGGCTCTGCAGGATTATCGCTCTCATATGTTTAACAACATTATTTAATAGCACTTAATGGTTGGCATCGATAAACCTACCTTTATAAGTGAGTGCACCGGGACTCCGATGGCCCGAGATGGCATGCTCCGGTGAGATGTGCCTGATGGGGGGCGAAAGTGTCGCAGATAGAGATTTGAACCCAATCCCACTACCGCCGCCGGAAGTTGTACATTGTAGCGAGCCAGAACCGCGCACCACAAGAGAGCTTACCGGAACGAACGCCTTCATAGGCTCGTTCTGTTTGCGTACACGACTGGACATTTTCCTTTCACCACCACTCCGGTTTCCACTGCACTGCTCTTCTACTGACGGATTTCACTTGCACTTCTTGCACAATCCTCATCCGCATTTGCCGTCGCTTAAGCGAGAAAATAATACTCTTTGCTATTCCGAACAACCGATATTCCAACACCATTCGAACTTTTACTGGACGACACTCATTTTACTTAGCGAAACACGGAACTAAGAAGCCCGAAAATTTGCAGACATTACATTTTTCCGACGTTCTCGATTTTGGACAGCAGAGATTGGTCTTTGTTCGTCGTTCGCCTTGCCCGTACTCGAAGGAAAGATGGAAGAAAGTGATCCCACTTTTGACAGCTACCGTTTATCACCATAAATAGAGATGTGAGCAATTTGATGAGGGGTATATACTGCCGCTCATCGCAAGTCGGTCCCATTTGCGTTTTTGTCAAAAATGTGTGCTAATCACTAGAAATACTCAGAGCACAGCAAACAAAAAAAAAAATGTAATATCGATCAATGCAATTCAAGCTGATGTATGAAATAATGATGTAATAGAAAAAAGCAGATACAATATAACATCAATGGATTTAATTTTGTTCGCAAAATCGATGTACATCATACAACGTTAATATTATTACACAACCGATGGATGATTTATTTTTTTATTTATTTATTTGTCGTCAATCAGTGTAGACCGTTTTACAATAGTGCTGTTGCCTTACATGCTATTTTAAAACATACGTTTTATTTGAAATTGTCAGCAAATGTAGACTGCATATACAAATATCTAAAAAATAAAAATTGTTTTGAACTTAACGAGATGAAATCCTAGCAGTTAGTGTTCTCCTTACTGTATCTTTAGACATCGTTAGATCTATATGCTCACAATAATTATTATACACTCTCATCATTCTATTAATTGGTCCATTTTTACCATAATTCGTTCTGTGAGGTGACAGTTGAAATACATTTCGAGTTCTTAACATGCGTAATGGTACGTAAAAATTTAATCTTGCTAATATTTTTTCTGAATTTACGCGTTGTGAGATAATATCATTGACAAAGGAAATCATGGAAATTTCTCTTCGTTTCTTAAGTGTTTCAATGTTTATCAACATGCAACGGGACTCATAAGAAGGAAGGGGAAAAGAGGTCCAGCCTAGTTTCCTAAGAGCAAATAACAAAAACTGTTTTTGAACTGATTCCATACGATTTATATAAGTTTCATGGTATGGAGCCCAAACCACACTGCAGTATTCGAGAATTGATCTCACGTAAGCTATATAAAGTGTTTTGATGGTATATGGGTCTTTAAAATGATAACTAAATCTTTTTATGAATCCCAACATATTATTTGCTTTGTGAATTGTGGTATTCACATGATCTACAAATGTCAACTTCGAGTCAAGAATTACTCCTAAGTCCCTAATTTTATCGCACCTTACAACCAGCTGGTTTCCTAGAGTACATGTAAAATCTAGAGTAGTGTTTTTTCTGGAATATGATATAATATTGCATTTTTTAACATTAATATCCAGCAGACTTTTAACGCACCAGTTGTAGAAAACATCAATTTCATTTTTAAAATGTAGCAAATCAGAATTGTCAAAGATTTCCATGTACAGTTTCATATCGTCAGCATATATGAGCACATTTAAACGATTTAACACAAACTTCACGTCATCCACAAATAAAATAAATAATAAAGGACCTAAATGAGATCCCTGTGGAACTCCCGAGGTAACATTAACTGGCGAAGATATTTTTCCTTTAAAGCGGACCATCTGTGTTCTTTCTGTCAAGTATGATCCAATCCATTTTAAAAGTGTACTTGTCATACCTAAACGTTTTAATTTAAAAAGAAGTAAGGGAATGTCTACTATGTCAAAGGCCTTACTAAAGTCAGTGTATAAGGTTTCAACGGTATTACCTCTATCCATTGCTTCAATAGAAAAGTTTACAAATTCCAACAGATTAGTAGACGTTGACCGACCTTTAAAAAAACCATGTTGATTATTTGAAATGCGATGCTTAACCTGGTTAAATATTTTCTGGTTAACAATTGCTTCAAACATTTTAGGAATGCATGACATAATTGCAATACCTCTATAGTTTTTAATATCTGACCGTTTGCCAGATTTAAATATTGGAACTAAAAATGATTTCTTCCAAATTTTTGGAAAATCACCTGTTTTGAGAGATAAATTGTAAAGCCAAAACAATGGTTTAACAAAACTTGTTGCTATTTTTTTCAATAAAAATGGAGGTATTTCATCAGGACCAGGTCCTTTGCCAGCATCGAGACTTTCAAAAGTCATAAAAATTTCTTTAACAGTGATATTTTTAACTGATACGTCATTTTCCCCTTCATGTAGGTAAGAAAAATAGTTCAAATCGAGAGCATTACTGGATTTCTTATATGTGTTTTGGAAAAAACGAGCAAATAGGTTACAAATATCCTCACTATCAGTGCTATCACACTCTTCAAACTGCATGCGTAATGGGAATGTACATGACTTCATTTTTTCGTTCGCGAAGTTAAAGAACGTTTTGGGATCTGATTTTATATTGTTCTCTACTCTTGAATTGTAATTCTCATATGCTGACGATATTTCTGCCTCAAGTGCTCCGCAAATTTCAACGTATTTTTCTAAATTTTGTGACGTTTTAAACTTTTTATACGCCTTGTGTGCTTTTTGCTTCCTGTTTTTAATATTTCTGATTTCTTGTGTATACCACACAGGATATTTGGTGCTGTTCACTATTCTCTTTTGTCTTTTAGGAACGAATTCTTCAATAATATTGTATAAGTTAGTATAAAATATGTCAACAGCCTTGTCCATGTTGTTTTCATCTTTTAAAAGGTTTTGCCAACTTATGTCATTCAGTCTGTTGTTAAATTCAGGAACATTTGCATTTTTAAAATCATAAACTAATTCAAAATCAACAACGCTTGGGCGTGACCGATGCGATTCTATGAACACTGAGTATTCAATAGCCGTATGAAATTTTTCATTCTTCCATAATGGAACTGCTGCTTCTACAATACAAAAATCTTCTGTACAATTAGTAAACATAAGATCCAAATAGGAATTGAGCTGGTTACGAACATGGTTAATTTGATGAAGTCCCAAGTGGCTGCTTTTATCAAAGATGAATTGCAAAGTATCGTTTTCTCCTACAATTGGTAACAACAGAGAATCATTATCACTATCCTGTATAAAATTAACAGTATTCTGGTTAAAATCTCCATAAATATGAATTTTGGTTCTTGGATCTTCTCTTTGAATTTTCAGTTCTGCAGCAGTGAAAAACTTTTCGTAAGCTGGTTTTTTGGAAAAGTGTGGAGGAAAGTAGACAGAAGCGAAAAGATGTTCTTCGCCGTTTATTAAAATTTTAACCCACACATCTTCAAATTCTTTTTGGCTTTCACTAACAATTTGTTCAGCTTGAAATGTAGCATTCACAGCAATAAGTACACCACCACCTGATTTTTTACCTGATAATGATAAATCGCGGTCACATCGAAAAACACAATATTTACTACCAAAGACCTCTTCGCTATTAATGCTATCAGACCAACTAGTTTCTGTTCCAATTATTATATCATATGTGCATCCGCTTATTTTATTTTGAATTTCATTTATTTTATACGCACTACGCATACGGTTAAAATTTTGGCAATAGACTGTAGTTTCACTTAAAAAAGAGCTACTTGATAAACTAGCGACATGGTCACTTACGTCGTGCTGGTCAGGGGGTGAAGTGGCTGCATCCTGTCCGAAATCCCTCAAGTTATGTGAGATGCCATGATCCTCGGGCTCAGCTATGTTGTCATATTGATCAGTTCACGAAGATTTGCCGCACTCTTCTCTCACCCGTAAGTTTTGACAGTTTTGGGTGGTTTGTTTTGGCTCCCATTCGTTGCTATCTCTTTTACTCAGAAGCAAAATGATAGGGAGCAAAAAGTGAGGTTAGGGACCGTGCACTGATCTATTCTACCTCAGGTGAGTGCGTCAGTGGTGCCGAAAACACGCATGTCTACATGTGCACGGCTGACACGATGTAGAGGAAGAATTCCCCGGAGCCATACCATGTGAATTCTGAAGACCGCTTACTGGGTACGGGTTTATAGTTTCCCTTTTTTCAAACTGCATCGTAGGTTGATAATTAACCGGTGGTTTGTTGAAGACATTTTTTGCTGCTGAAAGCAGCTCTCGATCAGGTGGAAGAAAACGGGGGTTGCCATGATTTCTGATGTGGGACTGGTAGGAACTGTTGTTTTTGTTATTGCTATTAATGTTATCCTGTTCGTTATGTCGAATGATGCTCCGGTGACCGAAAATATTGCTGTGATTGGTACTGTAACCGTTGTCGGAATTCATGTTTCGATGATTACGATGCTTTAAACTGTTGCTGTGTATGTTGTTCCTTACGTTAGAATAATTTCGTGCTGTATTTTGTTTCCTTTTCCTTCTAGCTTTTTCAGCATGTTTTTGTTGATTTAGCCGTCGTGATTTGCGCGCGTCGTAATCTGACCAGTCTGCCTTCCAGACCCTCCTCATGCCCAAAAGACGCCACCCTGAGTCATCAACGTTTTGCTCATTGTTTAACTCTTCCAGCAAACTGGGGAGAGGGTCAGGTGATGGTGATATCACTTCGTATGGGGAGTCTGGCATATTAAGTGTGACACAGTTAATTTGGGTTTCGATGTTGCTAATACCAGCCGATAACGATTTCAGCTCATCTAATACAATACCTAACCCTAGTATAGGGTTTTGTTGCATTGCAACAGTAGAGCACAGGTCAGAAGTTATATTGCTGATATTTTTCAGCTCGTCCTTGAGAAAGTTAAGGTCTTCGGAAATTCCTGCTGTCATTGTTGGCATTGAATTTGCAAAATTTTCTTGTGAAGCTTTCATCGCTATGTCAAAAAGCGAGGTAATGTGGTTTTTAATAGCACTAACCTGACTGATTGACCTGGTTGCAGCAGTTTGGATGTAAAATTCAACAACTTTTTTTTTGGTCTCAAGCAAACGATTAACGTATCCCATTATAGTCGGAATTCTAGGCAACTAACGATTTAAAATTGGCTCACTACTTGACTAGCCTATTGGTCCCAAGCAAATCGATTAACGTGCCCCATTCTAGAAGAAATTCTAGTACTACAATATGTTTGTTTTGATTCACTATGAAAGTTTGAAAGATAAAATGAGGGGTTCGTGGATTTACCTATGTATCGAGGGGTGCATCGATTAGCTTCCCTAATAAAAAATAACCATTAACGAACGATAAC